GGGGGGGTAAATAAGGCAAAGAGGAAGCCTGTGATTGAAGGCTGTGGCCCCGCAGAGCAGCCTCCTCAAACTGGGTCCACCCAAAGCTTCAGCAAAGCAAATGAGCACCTTCCATAAAGCCACACGACACAAAAAGCACAGAGAGGAATGTCCCCTGCATTTTATTCCACCAGCAAAGCCTACTTTACATTAAGGCTCCAAAGCTTGCAACCGCAGACTCAGACAAATAATCGTCACAAAAAGCAATGCGTGTATGCGTTTATTTTAACATAAACTGCAGAATGAGTGTAACCCCATTAAAACTTTTGAAACCTGATGAGGGAAAAACAAAAACACAAAACAAAACAAAAAAAAAAACAAAAAAACGCACTTCACATTTCTAGTAATGCTCATCTGCTAAAGTAAATGTCCTTGTCTAGTTTCTTCTTTGGGTATTCGAAGTCATTACAAGTTAAAATACCCAACATGCTTGTTTCTCCAGTAAAACAAATGTACAACTGATCACCAGCAAAAGTGCTGTGTGCTGTCTTTACCTGTGTCTTCATCTAAATCACCCTGCAGAGAGGAGTCTGTGTCCTCTGAGGAGGCCTGGCTCCTCCAGCTTATATTGCCCATCCAACAGTCCACGCAGCGACTAGTCCAGGTGATACTGATGCTTACGCCCTTTGTATACGGTGTCGTAGGTCACAGTGGCATTTTTTAGAGCTCTCTCTCACAAAGGCACTGCTGAGAGTTAGTCATAACTAACTTAGCCTCATGATCATCCTCACTTGACTCAGCCACGTTACACAGGACTTCAGAGGAAGAGCCACATATAGCAGTGACACAAGTCAGGAGGAGTCCAGAAGCATTGTGCTTTTCCCAAATCCAATGTGTTTTATATTCATATTCTTATAAATCTTGACTTAAGCAATCCTGGAAGGATGTCTGAGTGGGTGTCGTCACTGGTCCTGGAGAGAGTCCAACACTCCACAGTTATCTGGAATGGAGAATGCACTCAACAGTAATAAGGAAATGAGACGGCCACCTGCGGGAATAAACGACCTGCTCTCTGGCATGTAGGCCAACACGCAGCAGTGAACTCAGGGGAAGCATCTTCTTTCTATCCTTTTGAGATAGATTCAACACCTCAACAAAGTCTTTCAAAAACACACGTGGAAGTTGAGAGATGGGGAATATGACCCGCCAGTGACATACTGCTGCACTGAATTACACGTGAGACCACTGAAAATTATCTCAACTGCAGTCTTTCGCTCCACCTGGAAGGTGATGAAAGCACCTTAAAAATGTTCATGTTACAAAAACCCAGACTTCCCTTCGCTTCTAATCGATTGCCCTGGTCCAGCCATTACGCCACATGTAATCCATCCATTTCTCTATCCGATTCACTCTCTGCTCACAGACTTTATCCACCCTCTCCCTTTCTCTTCCCAAGCTCTTTTCCCTCCCTCTTTTTGCATTCCCATACACGGCACCAAAAATAAATAAATAAAAAATGTAATTACAACACAGCTAAACCTATATGGGAAAAGCAAGCCTCTCATTCTGTGGTAGAGGGAGGGTGAAATGCTTGCTGCCATCAAACCTCAAAATTGCAGCATGACAAACCAGTGCTCATAGCTTGCTCTGTGCAACAGTGGGATCACTCATCAGCAATGTGGGCAGACCGAGTTATCCCGGGGAACCCTTTTGTAATCAGGACTGCTTTAGCTCTTGCTCAGAGTTTTTTTGACCCAGGCATGCAGAGCTCGGCATTTACGGACATTAGGAAAAAGAAGCTATTTTAAATCTGAAGCAACGAGCTAACCGCTTAGCAAACGAGGGCCATTGAAGTTTCACACACACACTTTAGTTTAAGCTCTTGTAATGCCTGACAGTAAACAGTGCAGCTAAGACCCTTTCAAAGGGTGAACCACAGATGCGCACTGCCACACTATGCAGCGAGGGGGGTGCAGGGAGTCTAAAATAAGGAACTGATGGATCAGTTCTGCCGCTGCGGCTGGCTACTACCATTGACTGTCCAGTAACAGAAGAGTCCGCAAGCTAATTTTAAAACACTGCACTGCTGCTCTCACGACTTTCTTACCAACACTGGTGTGCCAAAATGTGTCGTGTCACAACCCCAGTCTGCATGAGGGAAATTTTTGCAACCGTGAAAATCTCAATGATCTTTTCATAAGCAGCTTTTCTGGTGTGTTTAAATGTGTGTTTTGAGCTGTAAAGTGTGCACAGCATCCAAGCCTAATGCGAGTGGAAGAAAAAAAGAATTGTTCTTCTTTTTATTTCATTTTTATTTATTTTTTTATTAAATTAATTTTATTAAATTATAAAATTTTTATTTAATTCACAAATGACTACGTGCATCTTTGAAATAAATGCCGCTCACGGGATAGAAATATAGTCTTGTAGTTCATCTTTAAAAAAAAAACTCAAGCCAAAAAAAGCAATACAGCACGTCTTAGTCGTGATCACCTGATATTATAATAAAAATGGTTTTTTTTAAAAAAAAAGACATCTCTCAGTATTTTGTATATCATTAACAGGCTAATGTTAGCAGACTGAAATGAATAAATTAAGCACTGACAAACAAGCCCAGCTAGCCAACACACACACACACAAACACACATGCACCCCCACCACAAAAACATGTTGCAAAACTTTGCACTAACGCCGGCCAAGTGACTACAATAACTCAACCCAGAGCTGGTATGGTGTTTTAGAAAGCAGTGGCTAAAGAACAGATGCTGTTCTCTGCTGCTGAAGTAGTAGTAATGTTAGTGCATTAATGTAGCTAACTTACCTAAAAACAAAAACAAATACTAAAAGATATCGAAAAGCTGCACTGTCTCTCACATCACCTTTGACTGTACTGTCACTGAGACAGTGCATGAAAACTAGTTATTATTATGACTGCTATTATTAGAAAGACACCGGTGAAAAGAGCAGTGGAACTCTGAGGTTTGAGCAAAATAACAATCTTTAAAGTGTACAAAGGGCACATATCCTGGCAACGGGGAGCAGTTAGAACAGATTTTTATTGACCCGTGCAGTTTTAGAATGGTTTGTGTGAATGAAGGCTTCCTACACATGTAGACAAAACAAGAACGGAAATACAAATCGAACGAAGGAAAACTCATCCCAGGTGATGTGTCTCTGTTTTTATGCGGAAGATCTTCCTGAAAAGTGGATTCTGGGTTGGTTCTTCAAAGTGACGCTAAATGGGTTTTCTTTCTTAAAATTTTGTATCGCCTTCATTTCGAAAATTAGGCCATCTTGACAACAACAAATCCCATTTCAGGACTGCTGCGCTAAATGTTTCACATCTTAATTTAACTGCAACAGTGGAATCATTCTAAGTGGGTCATTTAAAGTATGACATCCAACAAGTAAACATACGGTACGTACATAAAACGCTGCGGGATTAGAAAGTGTCTGAGCAGAGTCTGCAAGTCACAGTGCAGCACTCTCAAAACCAGCCAGAAATAATTCCCGTCAACAATGCATCGTTCACCAGTGATAAGCAGTGGATGAGAAGTATTTTTAACTTTTGATCAATGTCAGCACCCCCACAACTATTTATACTACTAATCATGAGCTCATTTAGCAACACTCGGAAAACTTAAATTGCTTAACGCACTGAAAGACAGGAAAAAGAGAAGAAGAAAAAAAAAGATGCCTTGGAGCTATTAATATGTGCTGACAGTGCACACCAACCCAGTCATTCAGCTCACATCATGTACTATTATTACGGCAGGCTACCTGACAGCATCTTCAAGTTTTAGCTTACACCAAAATGTGATCACACAGACTCAAAGCTTTTAAGCCTTCTGAGAAAAGCATTAAGAAACAGCTTCGGCTGTCTGGCTGCTGTTACGTTTTTTGGGGGACAAACACCGCAACACACTGAATCTGTTTATGGATTTCAGTTTTGGGCTGCTTGAGTGATGAAGTCATGTCGGTGAGTACGTAGAGAATGGGATTCAGCGCAAGAACCATCCATCTGATTTCATCAGAGGTGACACGCCTGGGCTCCACCGCACATGAGGTTCGCTTTTGCTTCCCGCGGGAAGGGCAAATTAGTGACTGGGTGACACCATCCCCGGTAATCGGAGGAGTATGTTGATGCAGCTAGTGAATTTGGTGTCCATGTGTATGCTCCTCAAGGCACCATTCTGCCAGCGACTAAAACTGTCACCCTGTTTCTATCCAGTCTCCAGAGACGAAGCCTTTCACACTTTCTCTCACACTCAAGCACTGCCTGCTGCAGAGTTTTCTGTTCTGAGTCCCAAGTCTCGCCCTTCCCTGTTTCCATTACACTAGCAACCACCACAGTGTGTCCTTGGGGACATATTTGGGATCAATAGGCAGATGAGAACAGACCAACAAGTAAACAACTGGGAAGAATGGAAGCAGGGGAGAAGTGATGGTTTGGGTACTTGCTTTTAAGTTATCAGTTAAGCAAAGAGTCTACAAAAAAAAGAAAACAAAATAAAAAACTCTTGCATTGCCTCTGACTTTTCATTTAGTTGTGACCATATGTAGTCATCTGTCCGCAAGACACGAAAGGAATCGGAAACTTTTACGCCTATGAAGAATGACTGAGCTAGTGGAGGATGACACTCCCTCCCCTCCTGTTATTGGGGGCTCTCAGTGTGTGTGTGTGTGTGTGTGTGTGTTCGCCTTTTCGCCCACTTACTGCAGGCAACACTGGGCAGGACACTATGTGGAGCGAAGCAAGGAGACAGCTGCTGGAATGGGATGCAAGTGTAGCTGACGGGTATAAAGTTTCCTTCCCAAAATCCCATCCATACCCCAACACTACTGCGTTTCCTCCCGTAGTGATTGTGCTCCGCAGTGAGAGTGAAAGTGAGAAAGTGAGCGACACGAGTAGACAAAATGAAAAAAATAAAAATAAAAATACGGGTCAAACCAACAACAAAAAAATGCCACGTGCACAATAGTGAAAATCAACACAAATACACACCCAGCAGCCCAGCGCGTGAACGCAATCCCATTCCAGGGGTAACAAGGCAGCTAGCCTTAGCCAGTAAAAGCTAACCTTGAGCTGCTGCTAGCTAAACCCGTCTTTAAATGTTCGCGGACGGCCAATTGGGAAGCAGGAGAAAAATGTCACACGATATATTCACTCATTTACGCGTCTTCCAAAGGGGAAAAAGGCGAAACACACGTGTTTCCTCTTGAGTGAAATTCAGAGATTTGTCCCGAGATGGTTAGCAACGCTCGCAGACAATCAAACCGGGGTGGTGTATTTACGACCCCCGTACCGAGAGTGAATGGAGAAATGCCGGTGTAGTACCATGGAAGAAAAGCCAGCACGATTTTTCTAAAAAAAAAAAAAAAAAGCTATTTCCCCGGACTAGCTCGCTAAACTGTTTTTAACACGAGAAGCTGTATTATTTTAACTAATGGATCAGTTAACCAGCTCTCCTTAAGTCAGCCTTTTGGTTTAAAAACGGGACAAAAATATGAAAATATCATTAGCCGCTACCAGCTAGCAGACGCTTTATTTTAACTGGATAGCCGAGAAAAAGAACAATCCGTGAGGCCCAATTAAACCACCATTTACACCCAACACACTCATCCAAGCTTTATCTGGAGCACCCCCTTTTTTGTTGGCGTATGTGTTGGTCAACAGACCCCCATAATTTAATCCATCCGAGCCCCGTGTAAGGGAGACCGTTATACAGTATCCCGAAGGTGGAGCGGTGAGGTTCAGTCTAGCCGGGCAGGACTTACCTTGCTTGCTCTCTATTTTTCTCGACATTTTCGTAGCCAGCAGCTGTGATCCCACTCGCAGTTCAACAAAACCGTAGCTACAGACGAGCCTCGCCGTGCCTCTCCTCGGATTATTCCCTCATTTTCGATATGTTGTTGTGTCCACGAGATGATTCCGCCCCGGTTAATATAATATATTTATAGGCCACAGACATTGGTACGGTTATAAACTGCCTCCGTCCGTCTCCGGGTAATTTTCACTGGATACACACACACACTACGCTCACGTTAATGCCTTGAGCGGAGACTCGGCTAGGGTAGGCTATCATCCAGTGCAACAGCGCCCCCTTGCGTCAGGAATTAGCCACGCCATCTGTCAACAAGAGCATGGGCGTGTTTCGATTTCAGTTCAAAGTTAAAGCAAGCCCCGAATGTAATCCATACTGATTTTGCAAGTGCTGTTGCACACAGTCTCATAAATTAAGTCATCTGTCTTTTTCATGCAATTAAATAATAATAATGTGGAAATTCACCAATCATCCATTCACCCATATATCAATCTATCGCAGATGGAAAAAAAAATGCAGAGTAGCCTGGACAGCAGCGATTTTTTTAACCTCATCAATTTTAGCAGCAGAAGGCTAATGAAATGATGGAGTGCGCAGGCTTCGAACAGCCATTTCAGCAGCTCGGTTCAAAACCAGCATCATGGCCGAAAAGACAGAACAAGTCTTAAAAACTAGTAAAAGCTCCTGAAGAAATCAAGTGTTGCACAAAAAGATAGATCAGGGGCGTTGATCGGTGTGATCATCAAAACAAAGCAATGGGTCTCTATATAATAATTAATAATTAATTTAAGGTTAATAATCAGTTTCAGCAAATTAAAAAGATTACATCGCCACTGATGTTTAGATTGCGAGGGATCTAAAGGTTTAAAGCTTTACTCACAGACATTTGGTTCTTTTTTCTTGTTAATATCTATGTTATGCGCATGTTTTGGAATAAAGTTGAAAAGCACATAACGATTAAAAGTACAATACCTGGTTAAATGAAGGAACCTATCTAAACAGACTTGTGAGCGCTAGAAAATGCATGGACACTTCGCAGCTTTTTTCTGGAAGTGTAACTGGTTTGCATTTTTTTTCCTTGCACATGTCTTTTCACTCTGCGTGTATACGCTAGTTTGCATTTCTTCCTATTAAAAGAGGGTTTTTCTTTTCCGCTGTCGCCAAGTGCTTGCTCACAGGGTCTCTGATTGGAGGGGTTTCTCTGTAGTACTGTAGGGTGTAGTACTGTAGTATTAAGCGGTTACAGTTAAGGTTAGTGTATTTCTGAACACATTTTTCCTCTCTAAGGCACTTTCAGGGCAGCTTTTACTCTGAAAAAGCAGGATTTCTTGTATTTTTGCTAGTATACTTGCCTAGAGTTCAGTGTGTATGTGTGTGCAGTGTTTTGACCAGGAAACCAGCCCACACATCTTGGCTGCATCTTATCCTCCAATCAATTAAGTCAAAAGATAATGGTACGGACAACAGCCAGAGTAACTCTTAATTAGATTTTCCCCCCATAAATGTTTTATACATAGCAGAGGTGGTTTATGCTTCGAGTGTTATGAATCACTACTGGCCATTTGAACATTTAGGATCAGCTCTAGTTTGTATATCTAGAGGAGAACCTGTCATTTTTTCCCACATTTGATCTGTAATCAAATGCCAGTAAATAACAGCATTCACAGAAGTTCTTTTAAATAAGCAAGAATTGTGATTTTAAAAGTGGTAGTTGAAAATTGTAATATTTCGATAATATCTATGTCTTCTGTCATAGACATTTGTTTTTTGTCGATATCTTTTGGCTCATTTGAGCTATCCTAATAAGTCCTGATGTACTAAATAGAGGACATCGTGGGCTTTCCATTGATATGTCATGTGTTTGGGGGCGTCTTTTAGCTCCAAAAGGAAGGCAATCATAAAAAAGTGGAAAGATTCACTGTTCCTCGGTTCTCGGGAGGATATATTAACGTCTTCTTTGTAATTACAGAGTAGTTTGAACCATTTACAAGTTAAATGGAAGCACACAGCCCTCTGTTGGGCATGCTAAAACCTTGCTTAGATGCATATACTACAACTACATTTTTCTTATTTTCTCCCTGTTACCATTCATGTACTGCATGTGACAGGAAAATTAAAGGCCGAGTAGAAGAAGAAAGGGGAAGCATAGCTCTAATTTGATGCTCGTTTCAACTGCTGACTATGGCTTTTGCTCACTTAGTGCTTCACATTATCCTCTCTATTAAAGTGCAACCATCTAGATTATGTCTTGAGTGTACCAAGACGAAGCGAGCATGCCATATCAACTTTTTATGAATAATTGATCTGACTGACAGAGTGATCTACATTCCTTGAGTGATGTGGGTCAGCTCATACACGTGCAGTGCGCCCGTGAACGCAGAGGCATGCATTAAAATACTGAGATAAGGAGTTCATTACACACTGTTGGCCGCTTCTTCTGAGCTTTGGTGCCGCTCACCTCATCAGCGACCGATTTAATCGCTTATCAGAGAAAGGCCTTGAGTGTCAAGGATTCATATTTACACTGGCAGTCATTATGCCTGCTCCCTTGTGCTCTTGCTTGCGCAGCAGAAGCCACACCCGTATAAGAAGTGCAAAGTGCTTGCTTTGTGTGTTTGTGCTAGGGAGAGGTGTGTGGGTGTGTGTGTGGAGGAGGGGAAGGAGTGGAATACGTTCCCTGAGGCTATGATAAAGTCACAGAGGGAAGACAATGATCTGCCAAGCAATGCCAGACTTGTCAGGGCAGGATAGGGCCTCACAGCGCAGTCAGAGTTGGTCTGTTTTAGAGCGTCTTGGTGTTTTCCTGACAGCCTGCATTCAGTCTCCCACAGAAACATCCAAGCAGCTGCCTCATCTAATGACCACGTTCAATTTGGGGCTTGAAATTTCAGCTTCACAAGGCAGCGTAAAGCCTCTCTGCCACCAGTGACAACTGATTGCTGGCTCTACTAACGAGACAAGACTTTAAAATATACACAACAATAACTAGAGGAGTCTTCTACATCTTACTGCTTTGTCACATGACTCACATTTGTCTTTGTTTTCTTTCATATCATTTTCACTTTTTTCATTAAATGTCACTTAAGCCTCAGCGCAGCCCTTTGCTGACATCCGTTGGCTGCGTAGTAAACCAAGCACACCGAGTCACGCCGCTTTTTGCCACAGAGTGGTGCTCTTGGTCCACCGATCATACTTGTATGCTGGAGCTCAGCCTCACGACCCTGTGGTGGTACACTTCTAGTAATGTGCTGTACATGTGGGTAAATGTCACAGAATATGGTAATACAATGATAAGGCTCTTTGATGAGCTTCACTGAGGGCAGGAATTAAAAAAATAATCTGTATGACCATCTTAATAAGTCACCAAATAGTTAAAAAAATTCCACTAATTAATTCCACTGTTTAAAGTTATAACTACTCCCTTTAATGAAGACAAATGTTTGGAAATAGCAAGCAGGTTAATCCATCACCACGCTCAGATATTCAGGGTCGATACCTCTGATGAATGTGGGAAGCTTTATACTGGTTCACACTGGGAAATTTCCACTCTGGGCTTGCAGCAAGATCAGGTCAGCTGTGCGCTGGATGCAGTTCACCGTTAGACGGGGCAAAGAAAGGAGAGGCAGGAGAGTTTTGTTAGCTGAGAGTTGTCAGCGAGAGCTTTGAGATGGGGTTTGATCTTCGCGGTGGTGCAGTGCTCAAACACAGTTTAAGACTTGGTTAACCTTGGCCAGCGGTCGCACCGTTCTGTCTGTCTCGCATCTGAGAGTTGGAGAAAGAAGGAGGGGATCAGCGAGGCTTATATGAGTGAAATGCATTTTAATTGAGAGGGAGCGGGGGGAAGGCCTACCTTGACAACAATCAGGGTCCTCTGTCTTTGGACCTCTGTTAACGTACAGCGATTTTCAAGAGAGGTTTTCATGATAGGATTAAGACGGTGGGCCGGGGGTGGGAGGTGGAGAAGATGGAGAAGCGTCGAACAAAGAGGACAAGGTGTCTGGGTCATAACCTACTCAATACTGCATGAGAATAGAACAATCTGTCACTGCCACAAACAAACACACTGAGATGTCGACAAGGTTAGGAGAAATCAGATGGTGAAGAGAGGGGGTCATCACCAGTTGTCATGGTAAAACAAACAGTGCTGCATTAAATCTATGCACTAAAACTGCATATTCAGACTAAAAATTGAGATTTGCTTCCCACACTATATAACGCACACATATACAGTAACTGTTGCAAACATTCGTGGATGCAGCCACGCTATAAACACAGAGAAATTATTTATGTGCTGAGGCAGGCATTGTCGAGCTGCTCTTTAGAGCTCCACGGGACAGCGGGCCTGGCTCTTAGAAAGCCCAGCTGCTCGCCTTTCAAGATCACTCTGTCCTGTCACTATGGCAGAGAAGGTCTTACAGTCTAAACTCACCCCCTCCTCTCCATATTTTCCGTGGCACTTTTAAATAGAGGGGTTGACCTATCTTCGAGGTGGGACCCTCCCTCGCCCTCTGTACCAGGCCTTCCAGTGCTCCTGATTGACATTTAAGTCCGACGGTAGGGTAAAGAGGGCCAAAGAGCATGAAATGAGAACAGCCGCGGGGCTGCACACCGAGACTTGACCACTCCCTTTCTCACACCCCCCCGTCGCCCACCTCCATTAGTCGCTGAAGTCCCCTGGGGGAACTGCAGGCGACCCTCAGCCTGAGAGGTGAGCTCACAGTTCCTTAGTGTGAAAGCACAAAGAGGTCGGGATGAGATGTAACGATGCAGAGAACAATTACGGTTCTTCAGATGATCATCTTTGCAGTGAGGCTTGGCCTTCTTTACTTCTTATGCTTTCTCCTTTAGAAGGCTAAATGTCAGCGTTTATCCTTCCCTTTATTTTGCTCAGCAGGTCAGAGGCATTTCAGGGATCTTTGAGGATATCGCAAGCATTTATTTTTTACTTTCCCCCCCTGCAAATCTTATCTATTAAGATCTATCATACTTGTGTGTACCCTGTAAATGTACTGTGTGGTTTTGTAACATTCCAGTTTCACCACGCACCCATTTCTGTGCGTTTTAAGTTGAAAATCTGCCATTTGAGCGGCCGCCTCTTCACACAAGCCATCGCTCCATTTTCATGCATAATACTGGTCAACCTTACACTGGCAAGTGTTATCAGTGGATATTAGCAGTTGAGCGGGATGCGTCAATGTCTACTCCTGCTGGTTTGGCCTAGTTTTCACAGTAGCAGTTATTATAAGCTAGG